GCATCTATTGAATAAACATGTGGTTTTTGTCTTTGGTTCTGTTCATGTGGTGGATTACATTTATAGACTTGAGTATGTTGAACCAGCCTTGCATCCCTGGGCTGAAGCCTACTTGATTGTGATGGATAAACTTTTTGATGTGCCTTCTGGCCAAAGGTGATTATCTCCCCACCATGCCTGCTACCCTGCCTTGAGACCTCTCATTCCTGCTCCTTCTTCAGGATGAAGTGCCCTAAACAGCTGTTAAAATAGATGAATTACCAAGACAGAATTTCACATTAGGTCATGATGTTCATTAAAACCATGGTCTGAATGATGTCCTCTGATATTCTTGAGCCAGTTGTCTGATGATAGGGCCAGGATGATGATATAAGATCCTACTAGGGAAGGCATCAATGGGCACATTTGGTAAAAGCCTCCATTGAGTGGCATCCCAGAAGTTCCATTTTAAACATGAAACAGATCTACAGATCTTCTAAATCACTCTCTTCTGGCCACCAGGCAGGGTTACGGGCATAACTAGAGTAAAAGAGGTGAGTCTAAGCCTCTGGTAAGTTCACATCTCTCTGGGCCTCTGTTCCTTGCTCTTTAAAAGGAGGAGGGCTTATCTAGAAGGCTAGCAGATGTTCAGATGTTAACCAGGTCTTGGATTTCCTTCGTAAAACCCTCACTGTCCAACATATCAATCTGTTATAACTGGGGAAAGCAAATGTGTGCTTCTCTTTATGCATTTGTCTTGTACATCCAGTAAAAAGGACAAATGCTTATAAATACACATTTTTTTTCCCCCCTGTGGGAAGAAGGTGAGATCATTTTAAGGGCTCAGAGGCAACAGTTGGTGGTGCTTTGGAATTCATTTCTGCCTCTGTGGATGAGAAAAGAGAACACTGAGAGATGCCTTCTTACTAGTGTAAGCCACTCTCCAGTGCCAGGCTGCCCTTGGAAACAAGGTAATACGAAGAGTTCCAGACAGATCCTCATATCAAACAGATCTGCTGAGTCCCCTGCCATGCAGCCTAATATTTTATTATTTTACCCTTTTGGGCAAGTCTTTGTAGATTTAAACATTCAAACAGGCATGGAAAGAATTGCCTATTCATCTCTGGCTAATGAGATTGTTGAAGAGCCCTCATTGAGGGGTGTCAGGAAACCTCAATTCTAGTCCCAGCGTTGCCTCCAAATTGCTGGGTGACCCCAGTCACATCTGCTTATCTCTTACTTGAGTTTCATCATCTGCATGAAATAGTGACATTTTACATGCAGGAATATCTTTCCTCTCATCTCGTGGGCATATAGGTTAGCTGGGTTAAGAAGAGCTCTCGACATTGGAGAAAAACATTTTCCCCAAGTTCAGTCAAGTGTCTGCTCAGCCAGCCTCCCTGTGCTGTTCTGGGGTCTGAAGACAAGTTCTGAGGATCCTACTATATCCCAGATGGTCTTGGTCCCTGTAGCACCTGGGCTTGCTTTTCCTTAGGCCTGACCTGTGAGGAGCTGGGCCTTCTCGCAGACCTACTGAGAGTCCGGGGAGAGACAGTGGCAGTCTGTATATCCACGGAGGAGGGACTTACAGGCAGGGCAGTGCATGGACAGGGCACTAGAGACTTGTCTTAGTGTTTTAATTACATAGGAAGCAATTATGTTTGTTGGGGGTGTGTGAACGCAGGTATTGATGGAGGTTACAGGAGATGAAAACTCCTCTTCCCCACTCCTTAGCACACTTTAGGGCCTGTGTGAGGAAAAGAGGTGTCCTGGCTTGGGCTTCCCTCCTGACAGTTGGGAAGGGCAGCTGCCCTGGACCCCGATCAGGCATTTGCAGTTTCTTAATAGCCACTAACCTGAAAAAGGCAACCCAGGACCTCAAAAAGGTGTAGGAGTTTAACCTATTATCTCCCCTTTACCCCTGTCTCTGAGAGCAGCCCTCACTTGTGATTTTATTCAGTAGCAACAATCACCGTATTCCTGGTCACAGCCATGTGCCAAGCACTGGGAACACATCAGGGAGTGAGGCCGTGATACCTCTTTCATGGAGTTTTCTGTGTGTGTGTGGGAGGGCAGGGAGGGAGGGGAGGGGGGGGAAGGGAGGGGAGGGAGGGGAGGGAGGGAGAGAGAGACAGAGCGCTGTACAAATAGTCAATCACAAGGTGTTGAATATACTAGAAGTCATGCCTACCCTGTAACCAGCCTCCCCAGATAGATTCTAGAATCACAGCAGTTAGAACCAGTCCAGTTCCCACCTTGAGAGTCTGAGGAAACTGAGCCTGGAACCCGGTGACAAGATTTGTCCAGAGGCATCGTGGAAACTGCTGGCAGACCCAAAGTTGAAACCTGGCCTCTGACTTCCGGCTTCATCTCCACACACCTTCCTCACCCAACCTGCCACCTTCAGTCCTGTTCCCCCTGCTCCTGATAGAGTAAGAACCCTCAGTGAGGCACCTCCTTCACTGATGCTAGGTGGCACCAGAACACCTTCAAACAAAAAGTCTCCTGGACTTGGTTCCTGACAATCTCATTGCTGGTGACCTGAAGTTTTGGCTGAGTGGCACTCCTCTGGTAGTGCCCTCAAAAGGCCTGCCTGCTCAGGGCATTACCCCAGCTCATAGGCCCCACCTCCTTTATCAGTGGAGTCCTGCCTGGGTCCCAGACTCCCTTGGGGTTTCTCCTTTTTGGTCACCTGGGAGGATTCACTCCTGTGTGACTGACTTCCTGGGGGCTCTCTCTGTATATGAGAAGGACTGGCTGGGTGCCCAGTTCAGGGGAAGATATGTTAAGGCAATGCAGGAATGAATTCTGGTTCTCCCAAGGTGTTAGTATCTTCCTTCCTTATGGAAGCTTTTGTCTTGGCAGCAACCCAGCTGGACACAGTGGTTGTGGTCCTTTCCTAGGTCATGCTGTAGTAGGTCTATGCCAGAATTGGATAAAATTCAGGCTTACTAATTTTCAAGCCTGCACTGCACCACCTTGCCTCTCAAGAGAAAGTTGATATGACAAGATCCTCTGAAATCTGGTCCCCACCTGTCCCCCGCCCCAGCCTGATCTTGCAGTTGTAGAGCTCTGTGGTCAAAAGTACACTCTCTGCCGGGCATGGTGGCTCATGCCTATAATCCTAGTGCTTTGGGAGGCTGAGACAGGTTGATCACCTGAGCTCAGGAGTTTGAGACCAGCCTGGCCAATGTGGCGAAACCCCATCTCTACTGAAAAAAAAAAAAAAAATACAAAAATTAACTGGTGTAGTGGCATGTGCCTGTAATCCCAGCTACTCAGGAGGCTGAGGCAGGAGAATTGCTTGAACCCAGGAGGTGGAGGTTGCATTGAGCCGAGATCATGCCACTGCATTTTAGCCTGGGTGAAAGAGTGAATCTCTGTCTAAAAAAAAAAGCCTCTGGTTTCAGACTCTGCAGATTAGAATGCCAGTTCGCTGCTTGTTAATTGTGTGACTGTGATAGGTTTATAACACATCAGCTTTATTTCTCTCTGTGAATGAGGATGTGGTAGATTTCAAGTTTATTTACAGCTCTTCCCATTACAAGTGGAATGTATTTCCTATACCCTTGAAACTGGGCTGGCCTTGGAACTTGGTCCACAGAATGTGGTGGGCAGTGATGATGTATGTGAGCTTAGATCTCAAAGGCTTTGCAGCTTCTGTTCTCACTCCCAGAATGTTGCTATGTGACAAGGTCAGGCCAGCCTCTTTGAGGATGAGATACCATGTGGAGAGAGATCCCAGCCATACCAGCCAAGGCCAAGTTCAGTTGGTTCTCTGTGGAGCAGAGGTGAGATATCCTGGTGGAGTCCAGCCCCAAGTAGCCTACACACAGCATCATGGGCACAGAAATGATTGCTGCATTAGCCCACTAAATTTTGGGGTGGCTTGTTATGCAGCAGAAGCTAGCTGAAATAGGGGAGAGTAACCACCCTAAACTTACAAAGTTGCCATGAGGTTTCCATGATGATGTGTGCTTAGACCATCACCTAGCACACAGTGAGCAAATACAGTCATTACTACTAACGTGATCCTGGCACCTCCTCTGTCTTGTTGGCTTCTAGCCACACTAACTTCCTTCCTTTTCCTTAAATACGCCAAACTCTTCTCCTTCTTTGGGGCTTCGTACCTAATTCTCTGGAAGGGCCCTTCTTTGCTGTCTTGGTTTCACGATTGAGGTCTCAGCTGAAATATCTCCTCCTTGGAGAAGCCTTCTCTGACTATCCTGGGAACCCCTCCTCTCATAGTGTGTAATATCACATTGATTGGCTTCCTTCATATTATCTGTCTCCCTTTCTAGATTGGGAAATTTTTTTTTTTTTTTTAGCAGCAGGAACTGGGCTTGTTTTTGTTCCCTATTTTATCCTTGCTGCCTATCACAGTGCTATGTCGAACAGGTACACAGTTGATATTGATTGCATAAATCAGTCTGGATTTGAGGTTGGTGGTGGGCGTCCAGGAGGAGAGGAGTAGCCAGGTTAAAGTGCCAGATTGCATGTGCTGCTTCTAATCCTCACAGTTCCTTTTTTTCCCCCTAATACTTTATTTTTCAACTGCATTTTAGGTTTTGGGGTACATGTGCAGAACATGCAAGATAGTTGCATAGGTACACATGTGGCAGTGTGATTTGCTGCCTTCCTCCCCTTCACCCACATCTGGCATTTCTCCCCATGCTATCCCTCCCCAACTCTCCCCCCCGACCCGCTGTCCCTCACAGTTCTTTTGGTTTGTGTCCTACTTTCATGTTGGGTCCACAGCCAAATATGTTTCTGATACTCTATACTTTCAGTGGGGGTTGGTGGCATTGGATGTTCAACAAACATATGAGCTTCTCAAAGACAGATTGAGCTCCTCATAAAACCTCGCACATTGTCAGGCATCTAGTAGGGGCTTATCAGAAAATTACTGGATAGATGAATGAATGAATAAATGAATAAGTGCAAAAGAGGAGGGGTGGATGAGAAAGTCCTCAGAACTAGTGATGATAATATAAAAGAAGAAGAATATGAACTTAGGTTGACAGGCAACTATGAAAAACCACGTTTTTTTTTTTAATAAAGGATGACATGTTTCCAATCAGTAAAATATCATAAAAGTACAAAAATGTATTAAGTACAATCATTAGCGTTATGTCTAGGGGAATAGTTGTTATAACTTTTCCCTGTAAGGTGGCACATTGGATGGTCACAGTTGGCTTGATTTACGGAGGTGCAAGAGTAGGTGACCAGTTGTAGCAGTTGGCCCAGTTTCTTAGGATTTGGAACTCTGTAAAAATGAGAAAGTCGCAGGCAAACTGGGATGGTTGGTCATACATGAAAACGAGCAGCATCAGAATGTCGGCTATAGTTTGGAACTTAGGAAGAGGATGAGACATCTTTTTTCAACTTCTCCATCATCTCCTTTCCCCTTAGCCCTGAAATAAAAATCCCTTTTGTTATTACTGAGGGTGTTACAGATTTCTGGGGTTTTTAACCACTGGGTGTCATGTAATTTTGACTTAATACTTATATCAAGACTGGGAAGAAACGCACTTCTAACCAAATTGCAGGTGTGGCATCCTGCTTCAAGGCTCCTGCATCCTAGGGAGAATGGAGGCAGAGCAAGGACTCCAACTCAGATCTCCTGAGGCCACTGTTCTGTTCTTCCTGGCTTTTAGTCGTAGCCAGAAATTGTTTGAGTGAAAAATTGGGGTACCTGAGATCCAGGTTTTGACTCAATCCCCTCACTAGGAACGATTCACATCATCACTGCTTTTCCTGGTATGTGTACCTGCCCCTTCATGGGCAATCCTCTTGCAGGATTCCCCCAAATACCCACCAGCTGGCTAGTCCTGGCATCATTATGTAGCAGAGGCAGCGAGGCACAGTGCATTGGCTCCAGGAGGGTGCTGCAAATGGTCCTTCCAGTCCAGGTTTGGCAGGAAGATGGTCAGAGGGCCAGCTCCCTGTGCTATTTGCCAACTTGATTGAATGTTTTCTGGCATCTTTGCTGAGGAGTTACTCAAGTGACAGGTGAACTCATGGCTGGTGGCATGACTTGTAGGCTCAAAGACTCACCACACTTAGTGCATCTATTTCTGTACTTTTTGCCTAATATGTAGGTACTAGCTTAAGGTGGCCCAGTAAACCTTTCTGACTTATTTTACAAGACTAGGGTTAGGCTATACTTTCCCAGAGCAGACTTGGCTTCTCTTGACAGCCTATTAAAATTCTACTGTTCATTCCTTTAACACTGTTTTGAGCTCTTTTATATACTTGACATTTATAACCTTTAGGGATAGGAAGTCTATATAATCTTTCTTTTCCTTGTGAAGTGACACTTCCTCTGACTCTCTCTAACTGAAGAAGGCCAGTGTCTTCCAGAGGGTGGTATTCCGGAATAAGCTGAATTGGGTTTCATGTTAGCCCTACCCTTGAAGATGCCATTGTTTAAGCTCTGGATTGCTCTGGGCCTTTTCTGGGTGCAGATGTGCTTATATATCCTGATTAACAGGTTTTTTTTTTTCTTTTGTTCTAAGAGCTGAATGAGGATGAGTAATTTTATTTAAAAGTAAATACAATAAATAGCTTTTAAAAAGTGACGCTGGATGGGCGTAGTGGCTCACTCCTGTAATCCCAGCATTTTGGGAGGCTGCAGTGGGTGGATCATGAGGTCAGGAATTTGAGACCAACCTGGCCAACATGGTGAAACACTGTCTCTACTAAAAATACAAAAATTAGCCAGGCGTGGTGGCAGGTGCCTGTAATCCCAGCTCCTTGGGAGGCTGAGGCAGAAGAATCACTTGAACTGGGGAGACAGAAGTTGCAGTGAGCCGAGACCATGTCATTGCACTCCATCCTGGGTGACAGAGCGACTCCGTCTCAAAAAAAAAAAAAAAAGTGCTGCCTATGTCCTCTTGTCAGATTCCCCAGATGTTGGGACATATGGTCTGTCAACCAAAACAGGGGTTTCTGGTTCATCTGTTCCCTTTTGCATGTCTATTCTTCATGCCTCTTACACTAGCTGTGACCCTACAACCCTCAGAAGAGTCTGTGGCACTGAGTTTAAATATACTTTTCATTTTTAGATGTGGCTTTTCTTTGGCTTAGACAAAAAGCAGAACCAACTCTCTGTACACGGAAGGGTTAACCCCAATCGGCCATCACGGCAATACACTTGAGATGAAGCCCTTAGTCTCTTAGGGCTGCACAAGTCTCTTCTGAAACTTTAACTCTGGGCACTGAGAGGTAAATAAACCCAGAAACTTCCATACCCTGAGGTATTGCTTGGGTTGATACAGTTCTTGGAATCTTGGAAACTTACAGCCCATTTGCACTGGATTGTAGGCAGCACTTATCTAGAGGGTCACAAGAGTGGTTTTGGGTTAAACAGTTTGAGAATTCAGTGCAACAAAAACAGCCTCCTTATCTAAACTCTGCAAGATGTGCTGCCTGGCAGCCACAGAAAACTAGAGGCCGACTGGTTTTCCAGTCTTTGTGTCAAACCCCTTGGGACCAGAACTTCCTCCAAGGAAGTCAGGCTTATTGGGGGAAAAAAAGAATAACTCTGGCACGATGTTTCCTCTATGAAGAGGAAGGGGTCAAGGGTTACTTGGGCCAGTGATTGGGTGGCCTCTGTTGAGTTTGTATGGATTTCTGTAGCTCCTCATATGGTCAGTGAACTCTGGGATCGGCGATGGCTGCCCCTCTTTGAGTTCCGGGACATATCAGTCTGTCCTCTTGAGTAGGCCATTGTCCTATGAGGCCCCAGCAGGTGCTCCCCGGATGAAAGTTTAGCTGAGGAGTCCCCTGAGCACGAGTCATCCCTCATGCACTCTCTGCCGCATCTCTGTTTGTGGATCATCCACTCTTCTGTGTTCTTCCTCTTCGGAGGGTTAGAGCTCTTTGGGGTGCTGGCACTGAAGTCCTGTTCTGTGATAGATGACACTGAGTGATGGGTGGGTCGAGCCACTTCAGGGGCAGGAACAGGCCTCTGTCTGCTTCTCCAACTCTGGATTTCTAGGTTTCTTTTGTCTGTGGGGAGTTTGTCAATTTTCTGAGCTTTTGAGATTAAAGACTTCCCATAGGTTCCTTGTAGAGATAGGAAAAAGCACCTGGTGGGAAATAACAGAAAGAAGATATTTTCTGATTTCTGTTGACTTCATAAACTTTAGCATTGAAAGGGGGTCTTTACAATCCAACTCCCTGCCCAGGGCAAGATCCTCTTTACTGCACTCCTAGCTGATGATTATTAAATCCATGTTCGAGCACTTCTAGTCTTGGGGAGCCCAACAACAAAAGTAACAACAACAAAACATAAAAGCTAACATTTATTATATACCAGGACTATTCTAAGTGCTTTATGAGTTATTAACTCATTTTATTTTCCCAACAGTCCTATGCAGTTATTACTTTTGTTTGCTTCTGCATACAAATGAGGAAGCTGAGGGACTGAGAGATTTAATGATTTGTCTACAGCCACGCAGTAGTTGAGCTATGGTCAGGAGCACCCACTCTGAATCCAAAGACTTGTCTCTTATTCTTCATGCACAAAGCAGTCCTTTCATTTCTGGGCTACTCCAACTTAGGCAAATTTAATTGCTCTGTCATGTTAAGCCTTTGTGAAACTTGATGATTTTAAAGTAGTTTTAAAATCCATCTTCTTTTCTTGAATCTGTGGACCTTGCTGACTTGACAGTGTCATGGTATTACCATGATTTTCCCGATAAAGAGGTAAGGGCCCTAAAAGGTGAGGTGAGATTCCCAAGGTCTCCTGAGATGTTAACAGATCTCCCTGTTGACTGACTCAAGGTTTTTATCCCCCTGCCAAGCTGCATACACTCTGTAGTAGACTCTGGAATTGGGAGTCTTTATCTGTGTTTAGAATCTTCGCTTTGTTCAAAGTGTAGGCAAGGAAAAGGGGTAAGAATGTGAATAAAACTATGTGGTGTAGGGAGAAAATACACACAGGCTTGTGGCACTGGGCAACTCACATCCAGTTTCTGGATGGCCATTGCTTTATCTAAAAAGTAATCCATTTGGCCTGGAGTACATCTAAGGTCATTCCCAAAGCAGTCTTTAAAAATTTTTTATGTTTAAAGCCTTATAAGCAGGAAGGCTCCCATTCTTCCACTATGTCTAAAAGCTGTAACCCCCACCAGTGGGCAAGAGGTTTCTGAAAATTACAGTGGATCTCGTGGAACCAGATAAACTTTTCTCCATTCTCTCTCATCTTACCCCAGGATGTCCTAGGGACCATGTAAATGTCCCAGGAAATATTTGACTTTTTGCTTCAAAACTAGAATTTCCTTATTGTAAACATTTCCCTCAAGCTACTGCCTTCCTCCTCCATTCATTTATTCAACAAATGCGTTTCAAGTTGCCACAATGGGCCAGGCCCCCAAGGGATTAAGCCACAAATAGGAAAGACAAGGTCCTTGGTGCAAGTAACACAGGAATATAGTTATAAATAGGGAAGGCAATGAGAGCGTCAGACATCTGATCACTGAAATTAAATGCTTCTTCCTCAAGGAAGGAAGTGCTGACAGTTCCACCTGCTATATATTTCTCAAGCCCATGTCCCATCAGCACCTAACTGTTTCTTCCTTAAGGAAATGTCCCTCCATTTATAACTGGATTCACATGTTACATGACTGCAAAGATCTTGTCTTTTGTATTGATGGCTCAGTTTCTTGGGGGTCAGGGCCATTGTGGGGACTTGAAAAGTATTTGTTGAATAAATTAATGGAGAAGGAAGGCAGTGGCTTGGGGGAAAGGTTTACACAAAATAACCTTTTAAAGCTGAAAACTGCAAGATGCATAGGAGGTAGCCACACCAAGGGGATGAGAATCAAAACCTAGGTACAACTGGCTGAAGCTTGGGGAGTGATGATAAAAGCAGGAGAATATGACCCAGGAGGGGTTGGCAGAAGCAGAGCAGGCAGGAACTGTGGGCCAGGTTTATGATTTTTGTGCTTTATTGCAGAGGTCTTGGGAAGCCCTTGGAGGGTTATGAATAGGTGACATGATCACACTTTGAGCCAATGTTAATGGACTAGAGTGAGATCCAATAGGAGACTACTGAAATAATTTGGGGTGAAAGGGCAACAGTCTATTGGTAGTAGTGGCTGTAGAAATGGAAATAGTAATGGGTTTGAGAAATACATCATGGATAGAACTGTCAGTACTTGGTGAAAGTCTAGATCTAGGCATGAGTTGGCAGGTGATGTCAAGAATAATTTCCTGGGGCCTGCCTTTGTCCAAATACTCCATGGGTAGTATTTGCTGAAAGAAACTCTGGAGATACTCAGATTTCTGGGGTGGTGCTGGTGACAGAGGGTAGAGTCATGAATTCAATTAGAAATGTCTCCCAGTTTCCTCAGACTTAATATGCCCAGTGGAGGTGATGAATAAGTTGCTAGAAAGATGTGTCTGGAATTCATAAGAGAGGTCTGGGCTGGGACTTTATGGTGAAGAGTCATCTGCTAAAAATAATTTTTAAATCCATGATAGTGATTGCTCTTTATGGAGAAAATATAAAGTTAGAAGACAAGAGAATGCAGGGACAAGAGAAGCTAGGTTAAGCAAACCACCGAACTTATATTAAAGGAAGTAAGGCTGGTTGATGGCTCTCTAATTTTGGGATAAAACAAATTCTGTATAATGTTGTAATTGTCTATTGATTATAGCTTAGAATGATAAAATGCTTAATAGTGACGTTCAGAGTTGTGAGATCCTCCGGATGGAGAGAGGCTGTCTTGCCTGTGTGCACATCATTGTCAAGTTCACTGCTCTGACTAGAGAGTGTGGGCTGCGGAATAGAACACTGGCCTTTGAGTTGGGAGACGCTAGCTCCCACTGTGATTTGTGTTAGGCCTGTGAACACATTCTGGTCCCTCTTGGTACTTCAGCTGTCCCATGAGCAGGGTACTAGAACCATAGGTCTGCCCAACACTTAGCTCACGGCAAAAACAAAATGAGAGGCTAGAAGGGAGAGTGAGCTCCAAGGAAAGGCAAGGCATTTATAGTTGCTGTTGCTATTTTTCTGAAAAAGGTACATTTACTGTGGAGGGCTTAACCTGGAAATATCCATTGTAGTCCCTGGGCATGGATAATTTATTTGACTAATGCAGGTCTTGTATGGAAGGGGTGCATTTAGACAAATTTGAATAATATTTAAACATTGGCAATTTCGTGCAAAATTTGAATTTCTGAGACAACTCTGAAGCATTTGATCTGCCTTGTGGCCATGATGGAAGCTGAGAAGTTCTTTCTTCTAATGTCTGCCCTCCATCTGGCTTGCTGCACTTGCTGGCTTGTCCCTGTAGGCATTTGAGTGTGAGATTCCTGAACTAATATAAAAAAGAACCATAGAGCAGCTCAAAATAATTCCTTATCACACACACACACAAAAATAGTAAGACAGGAGAGTAGGAATTGATATTCCCATTTTATAGATGTCACAACTGAAGTCGCACTGACTTGGTGACTTCACTACTTTGTGGCTAACCTGGGACCACAGTCCATGTTATTTGCCTCCTGGTTGTTCATTGTTCTTTCTGTCCTAGCTCTCTTTCTGAAACAGTACCCTCAAGGATCTTAGCAGAAGTCAAACTCCTGACTCTTGGGTTATAAAAATGGCTTATTAAGGGGAGATTGGTAACTCTAGGAAAGAAAAATAGCCCCAGTGCTCAAACCTTGGGAGAAGAGCCACGACGGGTGTGAGAAAGCAGACGAGATAGAAAGTGGGGTCTGATAGCTGGCCTTCCATCACCCAGTAGGGATTGGTGGGGCTGTTGCAGATGATGCAGGTGGCATTGTACAGGAGGGATACCAGAAAGTACATCAGGAAGCTGCCGAGGAGCACGAGCCCATGGAAAATGGTCTGTGGAGGAAAAGAAGTAAACACTGTTGAAGGTATAGCTGAGATTAGGGAGCCAGGGTGGTCACACTACCTGGTTAACTTTGTTTCAAACTATTTTTGAAATGCAACACACACAAAGTTCAAAAAGTGTGCAGTTTAATATATCACTATAAAGCAAATGCCCAAATTGTTGCCATGTAGAATTGAACACACATACCCCAGAAGACCCTATTCTCCTGTCTCACCCTGCTTTTGGTGATAATTTCTATGCTATCCTTTGTAGGTTTACCACCCAATCTATTGTTTCCCTACATAGCCTACTTTTGAATGTTGGATAAATAGAATCATGTTTCATGTGAGACTTTTTGTCCTCCTACTTCCAAGTTAATATGTTTGAACCCTAATCTCCAATGTGATAGCATTTGCATGTGGGGCCTTTTGAAGTTGATTAGGGGGAGCCCTCCTGAATGGGATTAGTGCCCTTATAAGAAGAGACAGGAGAGAGATTTGATCCTTCTTTCATTCAGCCATGTGAGTAATAATACAGCTTGAAGGCAGCTGTCCAGGAAGGAAGAGGGCCTGAAACAGACACTGAATCAGCTGCTGCACTGATCTCGGGCTTTCAGCCTCCCGAAGCATGAGAAATAAATCTCTGTTATTTAAGCGACCCAGCTTGATGACAGCCTGATGACAGATGTTACGACAGCCTGAGAAGGCAAAGACACCTCTGCAGCTTTTTTCACTTGAGTTTATACTTTAAAAAAGGGGTTCCCAACTCCTGGGCTATGGACCAGTAACAGTCCATTCCCATTAGGAACTCAGCTGCATGGCAGGAGATGCATGGTTGACAAGTGAGCATTACCACCTGAGTTCCATCTCCTCTCAGATTAGTGGTGACCTTAGATTCTCATAGGAGCATGAGAACCCTATTGTGAACTGCACATGTGAGGGATCTAGGTTGGATGCTCCTTATAAGACTCAAATGCCTGATGGTCTGAGGTAGAACAGTTTCATTCCAAACCACCCCACCCTTCAGTTGTCTTCTACGAAACTGGTCCCTGGTGGCCAAAAGGTTGGGGAGTACCACTTTAAAGTTTTATCTATGCTGAAAGACATAGCTCTAGTGCATTCATTTTAACTATTACATGGTATGAACATGCCACAACTTACTTTTTGCATTGATGAACATTTAGGCTTTTTTTCTTGTACATGTCTCCACATACACATGTGCAAGAGTGTTTCTGAGGCGAATACTTAGAATTGTGCCAAAAAGTATGAGTACTTTAAATTCCTCTAGCTGTTTTCAAATAACTCTTTAGAGTTTATGATCTACCAACAGGATAGGGAAGTTCCTTGGTTATGCTCTATCATCTTTAACACACTCCCAAAATGATTTGTCAGTATTTTATTTAGAATTTTCTACATCTGGCTGGGTGCAGTGGGTCATGCCTGTAATCCCAGTACTTTGGGAGGCCAAGGTGTGTGGATCACTTGAGTTCAAGACCAGCATGGGCAATATGGTGAAACCCTGTCTCTACTACAAATACAAAATAATAATCATTGGGCTTGGTGATATGTGCCTATAACCTCAGCTGCTTGGGAGGCTGAGGCAGGAGAATCACTTGAACCTGGGAGGCGGAGGTTACAGTGAGCTAAGAATTGTACCACTGCACTCCAGCCTGGGTGACAAGTGTGAGACTCCATCTCAAAAAAAATTTATTTTTTACATCTATGTTAATTAGTGAGATTGGTCTGTAATTTTCTTTTCTTGAATTGCCCATACCCATTTTAATATCAGTTATTCTAGCCATGAAAAATGAACTGCTTATTGCTATGGTTTAAATGTATATGCTTCCTCTAAACTCATATGTTGAAACCTAATACCCACTGTGATAGTATTAAGAGGAGGGGCCTTTTAGAAGTGATTAGTCATGAAAGATATTCCCTCATTAATGAATTAGTGCCCTTATAAAAGAGGATGATAGGAGCATCCTAATGCTTTTTTGCCCTTCCACTATGTGAGGACACAGTGTTCCATCTATTTATGCCTTGTGAGGACACAGCATTCATCTTTTTTTGCCTTCTTCCCCTCCAAAAGATGCAGCAAGAGGACATAATCTTGGAAGCAGGAAGCAGCCCTCACTAGACACTGAACCTGCTGGTGCCTTGATCTTGGACTTACCAGCCCTTGGAACTATGAGAAATACATTTCTAGTCTTTGTCAATTACCCAGTCTCAGGTACTCTATTGCAGTAGCATAAACAGACTAAGACACTTATCTTTTTCTATTTTTTCATTCCATGACAAAATTGATATAGGAGATTACCTGTTCTTTACCAGTTTGATCAAACTTTAAATCCTTTGGGTCTCATGTTTTTGGGGATAGAATTTGGCTTATTCAGGCTTGCTGAATGATTTTTGACTACACTGTGGTAAATTTTACCAAACTTAACATTGCTAAAATTAATTTAACAAAGCTAAAATTTTTTTATATTCCAATTTTGTTAATTGATCCAATAATGTCCTCAAGGTGTGTTTTTTTCCCCTTCAGTACAGAATCCAGTTTAGGGTCAAATATTATATTTAGTTTTCATGTCTTTAGTCTCCTTTAATCCAGAATATTTCATAGCTTTTGTCTTTGATGGCATTGACATTTTTGAAAAATACTGGAATACTCTCACCCTACAACTATCTTTTTGTTTAAAAAAAGAATAATGATCATTTTACATTTGTCTGATGTTTCCTTATGAGCATATTCAGCTTATACATTCTCTAGCTGGCTATGTGATCTTGGTAAGTTGAATACTCCATTTGAGCCTCAATTTCCCTATCTATAATAAAAAAAATTGGATTAAATGATGATTAAAATCCCTTCCTAGGGATTCTATCTAGGATTCATTTTTCATATAACACCAACCCTCTAAATTCCTTTTTTTCTTCTAAAAGGAAAAATAAATGGATTAAACAAAGTAAAAAAAAAAAAAAACAACAATAGCCACAGTCAATTTGAGATTCATTCATTTAACAGATAGTTATTGTTCACACATTGGCCAGGCTCTTTTGACTAGATGGTACAAAAAACCAACTGTTACTGACTTGAACTATAATAAGCCCAGAGGCAGGTTTAGCATCAGGCAAAGCTGGATGTAGGCACTCAGTAATGTCCCATGGATTCTCTACCTCTCCCTTTCTTCATCCTGCTATCCTCTCTGTTGGCTTCATTCTCCAGTAGTCCTTTCTACATTATGGCAAGAATTTGCCAGTCGCTCCAGGCTTCCAAACAATCGGCTCAGCAACCACAGTGCAAAGACTGCTCCTGCTTCCCAACAAAAATCCCAAGGCAGGGTCTGATTGGCCAGGACTGGGTCATATGTACATACTTGAATCAATCACTGTCGTTGGGGTGGGGCAGAATTGTCTGGATGGGGTTCTGGATCATGTGTCCCTCTCCAAAGCCAAGAGACAGTGCCTGCTCTGCATTATGTATCAGTCAGGGGAGCAGAGTCACTGTGATTGTCTAGGATAAGAGATTTACTACAGGTACTAGACCTCGCATAATTGTAAGAGGAATGGGCAGGCAAAGCCTAGAAGAGGACTTAAAGGATAAAAGTCACCAAATTGAGAAACCAAGCACATTCAACTGCAGATGTGACTGCAAAAAGGTGATGGAGAGGCTCTGGGAAGCAATTGTCATTGAGTCTACAGCCACGAATCTGGCCATGAGCTTAAGCTAGCATTTGGTAAGCAGGGTCAGAAGTTAGGAAAGAGAACTGAAAGCAGCATAGTGCAGAGCAGTCATGAAAACAAATCACAATTCAGTTCAATAAGTGTTTAATAAGAGGAATCACAAGGTGCACTGGGAGCCCAAGGGGTTACAGAATCCAGTGTAGATACCAAGGAAGGCCTCTTGGAGGAGGCAAAACATTTGAGATGAGGCCTGAAGGGTGAGAGAGCCAGAGGAAACGGGGGAAGAGGGAGAGAAATTAGCAAATGCAGAGGCCTAGAAGTGAGATAGGGTATTCAAGAACTAAAACTAACTTGGTCTGGCTGGGGTCTAATATGAAGGAGGAAGCATCACTGGTCATGCTAGGGGGACAGCAAGAGCCAGATGTTACAGGCCCGTTAAGTGAGGAGTTTGGACTCTGTCCTAAGAGCAATGGGGAGCCATGGTAGCATGTGAAGCAAGGGAGAGGTAAGTATCATAGGTAGATGTTAGCACATTGGAGATGGGAGGATCTTCTGAACACATCTCCCTCCCAGGAAAAGTCCAAACTCCTTAGCTGGAATGCTGATCCTTGTACCTTCAAGGGTTTGCTAGCTTTAGTTTCCTTCTCTGAAGGTAATCTGGGGAATACGGCATTGGGAATGTGATGGCATTCGTTATAATATTTACAACTGCAAGTGACAGTGTGCCTGGCTGATAGCGGTTTAAACAAAGAAGAAATAGAATTTTTTTAAGCAAAATATCTGAAGGCTGGCAACTCCAAAGTTGTGGCAGAAGCTCAGTGTGTCCAAGAATCCAAGCTCTTCTCATATTTCTGCTCTGGCATCTCCAGCAGTTGTCTTTGTCCTTAAACTCACTGCCTGAAACAGTCGCTGCAGTGCTACACATCATTTGATCACAGGACACTGACAAAAGCAGGAAGAAAAAGGTGGGACAAAAGGCTTTTTACTTCATGATCCTATCCTATTAATAAAAGAAAGTCCCAGAGTTCGCTTGACTTCTCATTGGCTAAGAGCTAGATCATGTGCCCACCCTGGACCAATCACTGCAGAAAGGAGAGGAATTACTGCTCCTACTTAAGACAGATCATTATTGATTTGCTGGGGTCGGGGAGCAACCCAAACTAGGAGATTTCTAACCCTTAGGTTGGTATAAAAGTACTCGTGGTTTTTGCCATTAAAAGTGCTAGTATTTTTATGGTCATTCAGCAAGAGGTATTTACAATTTCCATCATGACTTACTCTATTTCATAAGTTGTTTAGAAGTGCGTTTCAAAATTTCTAAGCATGTTAGGCTT